TAGAAGTCCAACTCCTTGCCGTTTTTTTTCGAAAGGTTATTGCAGATACGGTGATGCATGCAAATTTGCGCATCATACTGGAATTCCGGTTAATGGGGCTGGCCGTTTTCATCCTAACGGTAACGGACATCTATATAATGGAGGTGTCAATACAGAAAGTGATGAATGGGGATTCACCGGAGTTGAACAAAGCGAAGTTATAGTAGAGGAAGTTAAAACCTGGGATGATGAAGATACACAAGATCAGATGGATCAACAAGAATTTTCTTGAAATCAACTTTAAATTTGTGTAGCTTCAATTCGAAAAAATGCCATTGCGCGCATTCTGTATTATACTTTTTGGGTTATCTATCTAAACCAACATTGGATAATTACCCTCTTGTATATATACCTTGCAATTATTACTTAATACTATATACTACATCTCTTCAAATCTTATTTTAATCTCATTTAAAATAATCACGTTTTTAATCTTAATTAGCAACATTTGCGTGGACATTGATAATTTTATATCAAAAAATTGTATATATGCAGTTTTTTAATCCAAATTTTAATCTTCTTTCATAAAATAAGCATTTTTGGCATATGCCTAATGAACATAAAATATTTCAGAGCATAAAAACACACACATTTCTACTAGAAGATTGGAATGCAATAATAATGGTTCCTTTGTGCCTTCTATTTTTTACAGATTAGAAAAAACCCATTTCAGCTATTAATAATGCGCAACAAAATTAAAAATATCGAGTAAATATAAGATGGTGACAATTGTTATGTTTTATTCCAAACATTTTTATAATTGATAATTTTCTGAAGAATGCATTTTGTAAAAAAATATTACGAAAAGTAAACCTGTAAATTCTTAAGTCTCCTATCACTCTGCGAGCCTTCTATTAAATTAGGTGCATCAACTAAAAAGGTAATAAAAAAAATAGTAGAAATATCTAAAGCGAATTATTGCGTCTATAAAAATACACTTACCTAAAAATTTCTTTGTAAGAGATTTGGTTTCTGTTCCGCTTTGTAGAACTGCTTGAGCATTTTCAATCAATTTAAGGAGTATTTCGTAGTACTCTCTCGAGTAAGGTCCCTCTGTCATTTCAAGAAGCTAAAAAGAAAGGACAACGAAGTTAAATTTATGCAGAATTACCATTTTTTTTTGAGTATTTATTTACCTTACGGACGAAATAAGATAAATGGTTTCCGTCCAAAAGACGCTTTGAATGCTTCTCGACAAAATTTAAGACTGGAATGACATATCCCAATTGTACAAGATATAACATACGATCTAGAATTAGCTTCCGAATAGCTATCAAGGTTTCAGGAGACAATGATCGATTTTGAAATAAAAGATTATCAGCAAATAATGAAAAAAGATGCTGATGCTGTAGAGGATGCTGAAAAGCTATCTTGAAAAAAAAAAGAATTTTAAAAATATTCATTTCATAATAATCAACTATGAAAGTAAAAAATCTCTTACCTCTTCCAACAAAAGCAAAGGCAAAGAAGACTCATACATTTTGAAGTACTTTTCATAGTATGACGTTTCAAGAAGTAGATATCGACACCAAAAAATGAGAGCCATGGACGCTGCTGGAACACTAAAATTTACAATTTTTGATTAATAAATTCTACAAATAATGAAAAATCGAATAATTATCATACGCACTGAATATAGTCGACGACTTCTGAGATAACACTATTCAATTCCGTTCCAAATGATCCCTTCTTCGATATTGCGGCTTCAAGTTTTTTCAATATATTATAGGTTTCGTTTAATTTCGAGGTATCTAACTAGAAAAATACACATTTAATAATATTTTAGAAATGATTATATATGGAAAACCAGAAATAAGACAATTAAATAGCATACCGTTTTATCATCGTTTTCTTTCACACTTGCGGCAAAGGCAAGCAAATATAAGTACTTTGCTCGAAGATCTTCTTTTAGTTGTGCTGCCTTCGTATTTGGAACGAAGATTGTAGTCATCAAATAATCTATAAATCAAAGGGAATGCAATAGTATGAAAAGGTTAAAATTTAAGTTTAATAGAAAGAAAACTATTTTGTAAACAAGCGTATAAACAACTAAAAAAAGAATAACACCCACGCAATAATTCAGGATCTCTTAAATAAATAGGAGATGGTTTATCGGGACCAGAATAAACTTTATGCAGCTAAAAGAATTAAAGGAGTACATAAACACTTTATTAAATAAATATAACGATTGGTTGTAAAGAAATAAGTGTAAGGCACATCAATTCATTACCGCGACTACATCTCCGGGCGTTGGTGGTGAACGATTTATTACATTGCCCACTGTCGGTGGTGGGTTATTTAATAAATTTCTCAAAAGCACAACAAATTCTGCTCTATAAATTTAAAAGGTATAATTTCGTGTATTTATTTCTTTTTATAGAAAAATTAATCTGATGTTTGTGTAATTGCCTCTGGATCCTTACCAAATTGTATCATACCTATTAGGGGCCGCCCTCACACCTTGCTCCAATCCTTTAAATATTTTACGCAATGAATATCCTCCTTTTTCATTAGATAGACTTTTTATCATAGATTGTGCGATTAAATAAGAGTGAGGCTGCAAGCTCGCAGTTTCCTAAATTAAAACAATTTCATCAAATATTTAACATGTTAGGCAGCAGATTGAGAATTAAAGCTTGCTCACCACCAAATCAGGCAGGAGCTTTTCAACTCCGTTGTCATCTGTTCTTATTATTTTGAAT